GAATATTTTATATAATTTATGGATTTTGTGTGTGTGTGTGTGTGTGTGTGTGTGTGTGTGAGAGAGAGAGAGAGAGAGAGACAGAGACAGAGACAGAGAGAGAGACAGAGAGAGACAGAGAGACAGAGACAGAGACAGAGAATGAATCCAGGCTAGATATCTGAAAGGAAGTAAGAATTGGCTGTAGAGCTTAGGAATGTTTGGATGTCAGTTTTACTGCCATTACCTACATTTTTCCTTGAAATATTCATAAGAGACCTGAGAAATAAACATTTCAATTTTATAAATGGGGAACGAATAAGGATGGAATTATTTAAAAGCTCATACACAACTGGATAGTAGGGAAGCGCCAGTTCATTGCTTCATAGAAACACAATCATTAAGATAGTACAACAAACATCTACGAACGAGGATGCTTCCAATATTCTGCAAGTTTAAATGAAGCATGATTCACATAGTGAAAGAATAAGAAACCTGTTTGATTCCCACAGAATGTTTGCTGTTCTTAGACTGACTATTGAACCAATCAGAAAAGGCAATTCTTTTATAATACCTATCTTAGCTTTGTCTGAGTTACTTTTCTATTTCTGGGCTAAGGCATCACAATCAAGGCAATTGATAAGAAAGTATTTAACTTGGGCTTATAGTTTCAGATAGTTCGAGTCTATGATTGTGAAGCAAAGGGATGGTACCACAAACTGCTGTGAGTTTACATCACTCTGTAGACCAGACTGGCCTAGAACTCAGAGATCCACCTGCCTCTGCCTCCTGAGTGCTGGGATCAAAGGTGTGCGCCATGTGTGCCACCACCGTGGCTGTGAGCTTACATATTAATCAGCAAGTAGGAGGGAAAGGGAGAGGGAGAGGGAGAGGGAGAGAGAAAGAGAGAGAGAGAGAGAGAGAGAGAGAGAGAGCAAAAATATACTAGGATAGCCTGAGTCCTTTGAAATCTCAAAAACCACCACCAGTGACACACCTCCTCCAACAAGACCACGCCTCCTGATCCTTCCTCAGCAGTTCTACCAAATAATCATTATTAGTTGGTACTACTACTACTACTACTGGTATTATTCATAGTATTAGACCAATCATTCAAACATATGAGCCTATGGGGAACATTCTCTTTCAAACCACCACACTATAATTAAGTTAAAATGTACATTTTATTAGTTTACAACCACAAAGATTTGATTCATAGACAAAGCAAAGACATTTTTGTTTATGGATCAAAATGAAAACATTCCTCAACCCTGAAAAAAAAGGAAGTTTGAATGTGGGAGAGAATTAAGACACATTCACATTCTTATTTTCCAAATGGGACAGTTAAACAAACCCTTTTGAGTCTCAGCTCCTCTCCTGTGAAATGAGAAACGTATTCTTACCACTGTAATTGTTGTAAGGATTAATGAGCCCTGACTGGTGAGGTGGCTCAGTGAGAAAAGGTGCTTGCCACCCAGTGTGTGAACCTGAGTTTGAGCCATACAACTCCAACAGGGGAAAGAGAGAACTGATTTTCTCTCTGTTGTGCTCTGACCTATACACATGTACCATGAGACATGCATGCCCACATAGGTACACAAGCAAAATAAATAAATACATGCAAGTGGCGATTAAAGAGCCCATATTTAGGAAATACCTGAAAGGAAGTAGACATCTGGCTAACTGCAAGGAGGCAAGCATGTAGGTAGAAGGAAATCAAGCTTCACTGATGCAGGAGCAGCCGTGGCTTTAATGTTACGCTATAAACCCCCTCTTTCATGTGGAAGCTATCACTGCTCAGAAGCCTTGGTGAATGTGGATAATGAAAACATAGAGGTCATGGACCCAGTATGGGATATTTGAGTGATGGGATGTCTGTGTGATGTCATCACCTTATCTTGTTAGTTGGAAGCATTGAAACTCTGGGATGCTTCTTGACTCACCCAATTCCATCCAGAAGTGACTAAGCCAGAGTTGAAACCAAGATTGTTGCCTGCCTTGAGCTGGGTGGCCCAATGGATCAGATACTCTGGCTGAGCTCCTGGTGTTTGCTCTGTACACATGTCTAATGAATAGGCCCCTAGGTTTAATTAAGGAGAAAGGAGATTAATTGTTTCTCCCAACAGCTGCAAATTATTTACATTGCATTTGTGTTGATGGCTAATAAAAGAGCAGAGGTGGATGGGGACAGCCCAGGACGACTGTAATTCTTACAGAGTCCATAATGAAGTGCAGGTCTGAATGACAAAATGTAGGAGAGGATGAGCCTGCTGCCCCATGTGTACCTGAAGTGGGCAGAGCTGCTTTCTGCTCTGAGCAGGATTCAGTTAGCGAAAATGGATCTCAGGGGCTCAGACTTGAGACTGCTTGGGCAAATATTTTCCTGCTCCAGCAGACTGCCACTCCGTTTGTGAATGCTGGAGAATGGGTGAGAAATAGGAGCAGGGTGAGTCAGGGTGTTGTTCCCCACCAATCCTCGGACAACTCCTAAATAAACTTTTGATGGATGATGAATTGGGAAAGGGAAGAGGAACCAGAGTTCATCTCAATTCTCTAAGCCCCTGATTTTCCATGGCTACTGAAACTTTTGTATGATCAGTAACAGTAATGGGGTATTCCATGAGCTCTTCCTGGAGAACCGTGAACAAACATCTACTAACTCTAGATGGAGCAATGGCAGGTCAAAGCAATGGTTTCAATCAAACCTAGCCTGGTGAACTAATGAATTTTTTGAGAGTACTTGCCACAGTGTGAGGGAGAATTTAGAATAGTGTGTGATTTCCCCCGAACAATCATGTCACCAAAAAGTCTGATTTCAGCACAGATGAAGACTTCCCCATGGTGGCATAGATGAATATCCCCTTCATTTGGACTTACATTCTCTACCATAGCACCTTTGGAGAGTGCATTCAGTTAAGTCAGCGTTTCCTGCCGCTAAGAGGGGTGATGTGAGGGAATAGAAGTCTTTGGTGAGGGTTTAATGACATGCCTCCAATGCTTTCACTTAGATGTTTATGGCTGTTATGCTATGAGAACAGTGCTCTGCAACACATGTGTTACATGCATGAAATAATACATGTGTATTTGTGTTTGTGAATATCTTTGGAATATGGTGAGGTGCTAAAAGTTTTGGTTTTCTTACCCATTATGAAATATGTAGTCATCTTGAGATGTCACTCTTTGTAGAAGTCTTTTCTTTACCATTTTTACAATGATCACCTTTATTTCATAGGTTGCTGTGGGGAATATACATGACTTCAATTTTGAATCTTTGGAATAAAGTGTGAGGGTTGGTCGAATTAGTTTAACAAGTTATTTTGCTTTTTAAAATATGTGCTTTGCCTCCTTAGTCCCGAGAATGTATGTGGGAAATTTAAAAGAGGTCAGTTGTTCTCAACTGAAGGACCACTCTTGGTGCTTATGAGGAGTATTGACAGGAAATGGGAGGGTCTTTTCTTGGGAAATGAACTAAAATACTTGTATAGATATCTAAGTGGCGTCATAAGGAACTAGAACAAAAATTAGGTAACACACATCAAAGAGGTGAATGGTGGAAGTTGGATATTCACCAGAGATGTCCACATGTGAACATACAAAATCTTGTTACATCTCATCTCAAGTCTCTGGCCATTGTTGGTCCTTGGTAGTGCATTACAATTGCTTGATAGGTTCCAACATAGACCCATAAACTAAGTACCTTAGAAAAATGGAAATGTATTGTGTCACACTTTGGATGCTTGACATCTAAAATGAAGGTGTTGCAAGATCATGCTTCTTGTGCATATCTGTACTCTGGAGAATGATCAGGTTGATGCCCCCATCCTAGATAAAACCCAGTGGCTAGTAAAAGTACTAGTATGTGTACATGTGTGTGTGTTTGTATGTGTGGTGTGTGTGTGTGTGTGTGTGTGTGTGTATGTGTTCATGGTGCTGGTATATGTCTCCTATAAGAGCAGGTCAGTGGTCAAGCTTGAATATCATTCCTCAGGTACTGCCCATTGTGGTTTTTTAATTTAATTTTTTATTTGTATAAGTTCTTCCATTGGGATCTGGTATTCACTTATAGCCTGGGTGTCCAGCAAGTCCCAGGAATTCATCTGTCTCTGTCTCCCTAACATTTGGGTTATAAGCATTGACCTCCATGCCTAGCATTTTGCCTAAGAGCTGAGGAATCAAATAAGTCTTAATGCTTATACAACAAGCACTTTACCAAAGGAGTTATGTCCCCAGGCCAGCTCCAATCTTTCATGGTGTACTTCTTGCATGCTTGGCTGACTGTTCATGAAAATGTTCCCTTTTAATATGGACACCAGTCATGAACACTGGGGATCTGCCCCAGTGTCCCATTTTAAATAGATTGCCTCTGTAAAGATTTTCTTTCTAAACATAGACAAAAACTGAGGTAAACTCCAACCTACGCTTTAGGTGTACTGACATTAAACATGTATACGTTTAAAAGTTTATCAGTTGCTCATTAGATGATTTATAATTTGAGCTGCTCAATTTATTGAAGAAAAATTTTAACTGATAAATAATTTAGATTATTTGAATAGTCTTAAAATGATCAGAAAATACTCAGTGTTGGTTGCATATTGGCATATATATTGGAACTTGTGCATACGTGTTTTATATATGTATGTATTCTAATCTACTAATGGTAACTATGGGTGGGTTGAGTTAAGTTGAGGTCAGAATTCCCAGCACACACAGTCTAATCTGCTGGTTTGTTGACTGGTAGCAGATTTTAACTCAGAAGCATCTATTAATAGGTAACATTAGAAATTTTAACTCTCAATAATGTCTATCTTTACTGATGTTGCCACGCACCTTATGTGGGCCTGTGTGTGTCTTTAGGCTGTCAGTACACATCTCTGAAGCTCTTCTACATATCAAGTAGGCTACTGTGTTTTATGACTTAGTTGAATATGAGTCTATGCTGGGGGAAAATATAAAGCATTAATAGTTCTATTATAGATAAATGTCTCACATAATGATATCTTTGTTTTGTGTTGCTTTTCTAGTTAATAAACACAAGCCATGGATTGAGACATCGTATCATGGAGTCATCACGGAGAACAATGACACAGTCATTTTGGATCCTCCACTGGTAGCCCTGGATAAAGATGCCCCAGTGCCTTTTGCAGGTAAGATGATTGACACTTTAGTAGGCTTGGGCCGACTTGCTCTGGAGGCCTGATGTGAAACCTCCACTAAGCCCAGCTAGGACCTAAAAGTTACTGTCACCACCCTGTGTGCAGAAGCCCTGTGTGTTTCAAGTTGTGTGTATCTTCTCATTGTTAGTGTGGACTCTTTAGCATAGTATGGTTATTTGCCTTCACAATGCATCCTGTCGAAGACCCATATTCCTTCTTTTTGTGCTTGTTTTTGTTGTTCTGGTGGTTTTGATTTGTTCTGTTGTTGAGACAAGGTCTCTTTATGTATTTCTGACTATGTAGGAACTTGCTATGTAGACCAGGACCGCCTTGAACTCATGGTGATCAGCCTGCCTCTGTCTCTGCCTTCCAAATGCTAAGATTAAAGACATGCCACATGCCCATTTTCCTCCTGCTAAGAGGCGATAAATTGCCGAAATGACCCCTGGAGTTAGAAGAGATGGACTAGTGAAGGTCCTTGGGGAATTTTGCTCCTAGAGAGATGGCCTGCATACATGGTAGCATGTGGCCACCACTGTCCCCAATACCTATATACTACATACGGACTTGTATCTTGAACGATGGGCAAGAAAGGGGGAAAACTATCAAACCAAACTTGCTAAAGGTCAGATGAGATTGTGCCCTTCAACATGAGTATGGCTTCCAGGGGAGGAATCTAAAGTCAGATGTCCTTGCTTTCTTATTGTCTTCAAGGTCACTTCTCTCACTCTGACCTGCAGAAGTCAGACCCTATGTAGTAAGGATACAACACTATCATCTGTTTCCATGGATTTGGGTAAAGACAGGAAATGGGCAATGGCTTGGGTAGGAGGCCTTAGACAAAGAATGTCTGAGGTTGCCTGAATCACGAGGAATAGTGTTCACATTTTATAACTGTCAAGTGGAAGACAGGAAATTTAATGAAGGTTTTCAAGACCTCTAGAAGATTGCTTTATGATCGATGGGTGCCAGGCAGGGGTTTTCACCATGATGAAGTCTATTTTTTCTGACAGTTTGTCTGCTACATTATGAGCTACTTGAGCAGAAAAAAAAAATGATTCTTTCGCACTTTTAAGAGAGATGTTCTGTGAAGGCCTTTTATTCATTACGGAAGATTATGATGGCAGGAGGGCTGGGCTGGGTTGAACTCAGTGTGATGTGAAGGTAAGCCCATAAGCATTCTTACTGTGGGGGAAAAACTCTTACATGGCTTTATCTTTATTTTATATAAAATGATAATTAATGGGCACCTAACAGTGATTTTCATGATGTCTAAGGTTGTGTAGCTCAGACATCTTCCAAATGTCCTCCAACGAAATGACACTTGGAAGTACCATGCCCTTCTTTTCTCATGCCATCATCTTTTCCACCCTGCCCTTCTTCGGCAGCCTAGGAATCATCTACCTTACATTCTTCCGGACATAAGTAGCATGGCAGTGTGGTTAACCAACACCTTTAACATTGTCTAGAAATAAGGTTTTTGAAGCAAATACCAGTAAAAATATGTTTGCGTCACAGAAATCTTTTATTTGGCTTTTAATATATGCTTAAAATAGATCCAACATTAAGAAACTGGTAGATTTATCATGAAACGCACGATTCTGGTTAATCTCAATGAATCAGATCTCAAGTAGAGAACTGAGTCAGAATTTCCTCCCTCACTTCTTTCTTTTTCCCTTCCTTCCATGGAAGCAGACCTGAAATTCAGTATAGAGACCAGGCTGTCCTCAAACCTGTGGTCTCTGACCATAGCCACCTGAGTTTTAGAATCACAAATCTGTGTCCCAACACTGAGTTGGCCGTCTCTTTAATCCATGTGTGAAGCCCAGTTCCCTCCCAGCCGTTTATCTCACACTGTGCGCACAGAGTGGGGCTTACTAAATGGGGCTTAGTCTTTCCCCTCCCTGTCTGGTGGCTGACCTCTCTTTCAAGCATAACAGAGTGAACTGCTGGCCAATTCCCAGGAAGTTACAGAGTGCCCTTCAGTCATACTGTTGCTGGGAGGCTGAGGTTTTCAAAGATGAGCCATGTGTCTGACTCTTGGTTATGCCTACCTCTAATGGAACTCTCTTTTGGTCTGGTTGTGAGCAAGGAACTGAAGTCTACAGCAAAGTGACCCATTTCCAAACAGAGGGGACACAATAAAAAGAACTTTACATTCAAGCAAATCTGATATTTGAGGATTTATATTCACAGCAGATTCCTTAACACCTTCATTTATTAGGGCTTACAGACAATTAAAAAATCATCTGCAGATTCATCTGAGCATTTCTTCAGTTGAAGCCTCGTCAAGTGCCTAAAACTTGAATTTGTATTTTGTCAGATGTGCTTACAGTTGTTCAGGCTTGTTTTGAAACTCAGAGTTGCCTCTCGGCCAAGCCCTGAGTAGCTATTTCCAACCAGAGACAATTTCTCTGCTCCACCTGTTATCTTTGCAGCTGCCTTTTAAAAAAAAATCTGGCTTAATGCATCAAAATATAATCTGCCAAGCTCTTAAGAGTAAAAAATAAAGGTGCTTCTTATTATGGTCAAAGCTATTTTTCTCAGTATTATTTATGGCCAGCTGTACGACAGGACACAGACACTAGCCATCCATCCAGCGACGGGCATTTATTTTAAAACATTTATCTTAAAAAGAAAATACTCTAGATTTATTTCAGATCCCTATCTTTCTCATAAAATTGAAAAATTTATATCTGTCAGCTTCATCACCCTGCACGTCGACTGGAGCTTCTGGTCTTCCTTATCAAACACTCCTGAATTAGGGGTCACTTTCCCCAGCTTTCTCCCTGCGTCTTTTTTTCGCATTGGTTGAGTGGTGAACTGAGCTGAGCTCTGTGACAGACCATTCCCTTTAGAACATTTTCACTACTTTATTTCTCTTATCTTCTTTTACCTTTTGGAATTTTTAGAAAAAATATTCTTCTATAAGAATTCTGTTTGAAAATAATTTAGAATTATATGCTACTATAAGCAATGCTCATCTAAATAAAAAGCAAAGCATGTCTTGTAGAAAACATGGAAAGTCCTGGGACGTGCACACAAAAAGCATACAGCCTGCATCTTCCCACCACTAGAGACTCTTGGCATTTCAATGTCCTTCCTCCAGTCATGTGTCTATTCCTTGCCTAAAATTATTATTGCATCTTGCATGTAATATTGGAATTGAGTGTTAGTGTTACTTTAAAAATAACATTAGCCCTATAAATATCCTAATGAATGTTCTAGAGCTTACTTTTTCCCTATTGACAATTATTGTACCTATTTCCATTTCTATTTTGTTACAACATATTTGCCTTTCTGTGTCTACTGGTGGATAAATTTTCATGAGTATAATTAATTGGTCAAGCATTTCCAAGTTCCTGAAACACATTAGATTGCCTTTCAAAAAAAAAAAAAAAACAAACCTGTATGACTTTATTTCTATCCACAGCTTCTGAGTCCTCCTCCGGCCCCCTTTTGCTCACTCTAATGGTGATTTGGTGACAGTATGGCAGAATAGCTAATTGTATTATCTTTAATAACATCATCTGTGAATGATGCAGGCTTTCCAGGCTTTTTGTATGGATGAAATTTAAATAATGTCTATGCCACATGTTCCAAATGTGGTGGTTGTTTAAATGAATTGGAGTTTCCATCTCCAGCCTTTTATGCCTGCTCATTTCATAGAGGAAATGCCTACTTGGCATTGAGGTGAAGCAACTTGCCCAGCATTCCAGGTGACTTTAGTTGAGGGACATTGATCTTGCTTTGAATCCGTCTCTAGTTTGAGCAGCAAAACCTCCATGAGATCTCAGCCAGTTCTATTAAACTTGCTTGGCTCACTTCTCAACTCAGAGTCTGAGCTCTGTAGACTTGACCTTCCTAAAGAAGCAAACACAGAAAAATCCTCAAGTAATAATGGAAATTCTGACCATTGCATGACAAAAAAAAAAAAAAGAGTGATAATGAAAGCAAGCCGGGCGCACCATGAACTTATTAATTTCTACACGTGCCCCACTGAGACCTGTTAGGAAACTGTGGAGACTTTTAAATTTGAAGGGAATTAGATGGCTTTTCAGAGATAATAGAACTACCACTCAGTTGTCTACATTGGGCCAGTCTGCACTTGTCTCTTGTAAGGACAGGGCTACAGAGGATGATCAGACATAATTGGCTGGTTTTGCCGGCTGGGTAAGTCTCTGAAGGCTGCCCAGAAAATTATCTGGAATACGATTTGACCTGGTTTGATTAGTTGGTTACAGTGCTGGCTGTGGCAAGGACTGTTCCTTCTTTTGTGACTAACTCCATTTCTCTTATTCAGTTCAATGTCTGCCTATCACCTTCCTCCCTATCTGTGGGTCTGTCCAAGGGGCCTGGCTCCCATCTAGGGCTCAATAATACCCTAATGGTAGAGACCATCAAGGGTTCATTCTGCCACGATATCTTATAGTGAGCAGGAAAGGCAGAGGTCATAACATTCATTATTTCTAGTATTTTTAGATTGATGGTCATCATTGTATGCTTTAAAACATATAAAATATTATGTTTAAAAGCATATCAATATAGTGTAGAAGCTTTAAATCTAGGTAAGTGGCACATATATTACCTCACATAGTGTGGTGGTTAATGTGATCAAATTGGCAAAAACTAGAATCACCCGGGAGGTGGCCTCTGAACACGCCCATGAGGGACTTTCTTCACTGAGGTGCTTGAGGTAGAAGGCTGGAACCATTTCGTGGACTAAACCTTGAACTGAATAAAGAGAGGGAGGTGCAGAGCCCACGTGCACTTGTTGCTCTCTATTTCCTGACGATGGATGCCACGTGGACAACTGTCTCAACTCCTGACACTATGATTTCAGGGCAAGATGGAACGTTAGCCTGGAACTGTGCATCAAAATAAGCTCGCTCTCCTTTGGACTGCTTTAGTCAGAGAACTTTATTACAGAAACAGAGGTGCAAAGGTGTCCTCTTTTGGTGAGAGGCTATCACACTCAGCCTTTCTCCAAG